AGTGCAAACAACTGTAAAAATTGATGTCTCTGACTGGATGTGATGGATATACTTTTGACTGAGATTTCAAACACTAGCCAAAAAAATATTGAAAACATGCACAATAAACATAATCAAAGAAATTAATGTTGTAATGAGCAAAGAAATTGCCTCTTTTGAGGTTTTGGTGGAAGGCTTCGGAATTTAGTCTGACATCCTGTGCTTTCTTAGCCAAGACTCACTTCGAAGTGATAAATAAAATCATTTAGAAATTATGCTAATTCAAAAACTTAACCAAAATACACACACACATATATGTTTTTCCAATAACGCAAATATTACTCTGTTATAAACAAATGTCATGCTGTAACACAATCTGACAAAAGTAAACAAGCATACTCTTCTGACAATCAGAAGAGACGGCCCTTAGCGCATAACACGGCACCACTACTAAGCTATAAAAGGTCCTGAGTGATGGCTCTTACCACTGAGGAGGATGAGTAGCACATACGACCCAGCTGGAGGGGGGCCTGTGAGAAATGACATATCAGACCATTATTTAGAGCTTTTAAATCACTGTCTGTGCAAGGTCTCAAGAGGCACGTCTGAATGATCCACTGACGTATCATATCTGTCCACGTGATGTAAATAAAGCCTGTTGTTAGCTGACCAATCACTTAATATATTGTCATGTACTTGCAAAAAGGAGGAGTGGACTGTGTACAACGTGTGACTTTGCTAGCTAACAGCGCAGGTTGTTAGCCGAGTTTGGTGCATAAACACTGAACCAAACAAACAGTTGTATATTGCACGTTCATTATCTTACTCTACCTTCTTATTTAAAAGGGATCGGAGAATTGCCGCCATTGTGGAGAGTGCAGTGCTTTTTTTCCTGCTCCGAAGCCCTTCAACCGACCCAGGAGACGTTGGAGTGCAAAGAGAACTTGAGCTTGAGAAAGGTTCCAGAGGGCAGAGCGGTGAATACGAAGCTGCGCTTTTCGCCGATCTACAACCTGTCCCTGGTGTGGATGTGAACGAGGAGAACCAATGCGGATAATGTGTGGATCAACGAAAACTGCGCACGCAACCATTCGTTGATTCCTTTCAGTGTGGGCGGGATATACTTAACTTAAAAGCCAATCGTTCTGCGCGGTATACCAGCCACCCTAAATGACGAGACACTGATTGGCTGTGGCGAGGAAAACAAAGCCATAGCAGTTGAGTCGTCGGTGACACTTGATTGATCCTGGAAAAAAAAGGATAAGGAAAAAACTGTTTTCAAACTTCTGTGTTAAAGATGTCCCTTGCCGTAAATACAAGGCCCGGTACTTTCTTAGGACAAAATAAAAATAAAAGTGATTTTATAAAAACGTTTCGAAGTAAACGCTTATTAACGCCTAATGCCAGGTAACAGTTTCCATGGCAACATGCTTAAAGGCAACATGGAGTTCCTACAGTGGGATTGTCATGATGTTGCGAGATGGATTGAGTCTTTAGGATTTCCACAATATAAAGTAAGTTAAACCTGACCTGACCTTAGGTGACAACATTGACAAAGTGAAAAAAGAAGCTAGTTAGCCTCCATTGAATCAGTCACTCCTTAAACTTCTCACTTTATTACGTCTTTCTGTCGCAGGCATGTTTCATGGACAACCTCATAAGTGGAAGAAAGCTTATTTACGTGAATTGCATCTACTTGCCAAGACTGGGAGTCACAGATTTTAAACACATGCAGGTATTAAAAAGAGGCATTAGTTCTAGTTGTTGGCTAGAACTTGCCAAGTAAGTAATATGAGATGCTAAATAAGCAACACCATTTTTATCACCTTGCCCTATTTATATATAAAAAATTTGATGTATGGCTTAATAGAGTCAGGTTATGCATTTAAAAACACAAAGGGTTGGTGACACATCACTTAAAGGGGATCTGTCATGCTAAGTTAACGCTCCATAATTTTATTGTTAGATACTTCGAAAGCATTCGCGGATTACGCAAATTCGTATTTATCTTATACTGCGTATTAGTACAGTCTTTAAGGTCACCCTCTCTCTGAAACAGCCATCTTTCTTCTGAATGGCTGGCACTTGTAAACAAATGGTATGAGCAGCAGGTGGGTAGGGCTGCCTAGCTCGGAAGCCAGATCTGTTTGCCTAAGACTTAAATTTCAGTTTTCTGTTGTCCTATTCTGGTAATCCCATGGGAATTGTAGCCTCAGTTTACTGGTCCTAGCTGACAGGAGTGGCACCTGGTGCGGTCTTCTGCTGCTGTAACCAGTCTACTTCAAGGTTCAACATGGTGTGCATTTAGAGATGCTCTTCTGCAGCCTATTGTAATGAGTTTGGTATTACTGTTACCTTCATAGCTTCATAGTAGCCTGGCCCTTCTCCTCTGACCTCTTATATCAGCAAAACATTTTCGTCCATATTTTCTCTTTTTTGAACCATTCTCTGGTTGTCCAGGAAAAAACCCATTAGATCAGCAGTTTCTGAAAAAGTTAGACCAACCTCTTCTGGCACCAACAACTTCTGCAGGTCATCTTTACCATGTCTATATGCCTAAAATGCATTAAATTGCTGCCACTTAATTGGCTGATTGATTGAGTGTAGATAGTATCAAAGATTGAGACAGCTTCTGAGTCTAAAAAGTGAACTATTTAATGCAATTAATCTTATATATTTTAATGACCAGCTAATGACCAGTAAAAGGGGGCAGCTTCAAAAAAGGTTTTAGTTGTATAGAAGTCTATGGGAAAATAGAATGTAGCAGTTCTTTCCTGATGAGTTTTAGGACTCAGTCCCTTGTTTCAGATCATTTTGAATAAACCATGACATCCAGTTTGTAAAAAAGATTCTGTGTAAAAGTAAGAAAGGAGGATTTTCGAGGAAGTTGCCTGACAAATTGTCAGTGATAAATTGGTTTCTCAGTCAAACAAATCCCTCTCCAGTCACAGCTGGCTTCAAAACACCAACATGATGAGGCTGAAAATGTTCTAGTTGACATCACAGTGACTGCATCCATCTTTCCTATCATCTAAGGCCTCGGATGGCCATACTGAGAACATCCTGTCCCACTGTCATTGTACAGAGCCAAGAGCAGAAAAAGTCTAGAGCACTCTAAAGGTTCATAGGGATTACTCATACATATATTATCCCCTTTATAAAGGTCAAAACATGGGTAAAGGTGTAATTGATCCCCCTTAAGATGTGGTGGGAGGTTATAAAGGCGTTATATCTTTCTTTGACGATATAACACATAAAAAGCCAGAAAACAGTGTTAAAAATAACTGTTATAACCACCTTCAGTTGTGTTAGAAGTCTCTGCAGTATGCACTACTACAAGTTGACTGGAAGCACCACAAAATAACAGCACATGTTTGGCTTTCTTTCTTTTTTTTTCTCAGAGCAGCGCGACATCCAATTAAAGCGTGTGTTGTAAACATCACTGCCAGAAAACACACTCAGATCAGCTCTATCCAATATAGGCTGTTTACAGTTACAGTGACTGTTTTTTCTAATCTGTATTTCTGGGGTCATAACTAAATTGGCTAAATGTGCCATTCAACTCTGCTAAACTCCCAGGAAGCATAAACTGTGGTATGAGTGGTATGGAGAAAAACAGTCTCAGCAAAGAAGCGTGTACACGCTGTTAAGTCATAATTATTTTTTGGTTTAACCTGTAAGTCATTTGATACATCAGTTTTTATGAGTGTAACCCTGTAACCTTTCTCCCTGTTATACAAGATTCTCCTCTCCCTCTCAGTGGGACGACTTTATTAAATAAGGTTAGATAATGTAAACATTAAGCGTGCTTTCTTAAATCCCGCTGTGTACCCCGCAGGTCATCTCTGCATGCGTGCGTGAGCTGCTGGGGATCACAGAGACCCTGTGGAGTCGCAGCATCACTGACCCTCCACGGGACACCGTGAGCCTATTTTTGGAGAAAAAGAGCCGGAGCGGCGAGCGAGCAGACAGCCTCACATACCAGCGGTTCCTGAGGGACATGCACCGGTGAAAGAAAGAAAGAAAAGCAAAGCAGGAAAGTCTGAATCACAACAGTAAAGGAACGCATCACAAAAAGCCTAAGACATGTCAGTGTCATTTCATATCACCAACTGTGAGCTCATGATGCAAGCTTGACATTAACACTTCCCACCAGCAAAATGCTAACATGTTCTTGATGTGGCTGGTTTAAAAAAAAAAATCATGCTCACAAGGATGCATTGATTCTGCAAATCTTTTGAGACAATAAAGTCATAGTGTGACATGTTTTCATACATGTACAGTTCGTGCACAAAAAGCTCATGCCCTTCCAGTTCTGGATAACAGTGAATGCTTAAACCACTTAGGCTATTCATATTGATCTCAAGTGGGTGTGTTGTAACTGGATGGAGTTATTGATCTAGAGTAGAGATCCTCAGGGTAATTCTTTTGGATGACAACAAACACCTATTTCAAAGTGCTGTAAGGCCCTGGGGTGGTATAGGTCATTGTTGTTACAGGAGCAAAAAAAACAACAAAAAAACCCAGCAAGTCCAAGAAAACTACAGTGCTGCTGCACTTGAATACACTTGTGCACATATAGGCTACTTTGCCAACTTGCACAAAAGGCCATAGGATCATTGCATCAGATAGGGATGGGTCCAGCGCCAAGCAGACCCACGGGGGAGCCGGGCCTTTCTCTTTCAGCCAACTCAACACTTTCTTGCCAATAATCTATGTAATACATGCAGCATTGTTCAGCTATAGCCTATTTTTGGCGTTCACCCACTAGAAGCACCTGCAGCAGCAGAGGTTTGATCCAAGAGAATGGATGGATTTTTCAATACCAGTCTTGCTTAAGCCTACGGGCTGCTTGTTGTTGCCTGGCTTTCTTAGCCTTCATGTCCTGCATGTCTGAATCTGCATCAGCATCTCAGCCCCATATTTTTTTTCTTCTTCATTTAATCAAATTGAATTCTTAGAGAATATCATAAGCTCAATCTACTCAACGTTCGTGCAGCAGAGTTCAGTCTCCATGAATAAATGATGATGCCTGCCTGTGAGATAGGCTGGGAGGCACTGCATCTGTCTGTGCACACAAATGGTCTCTGTGCAGCTCAGAGCGCACCGATTACCATTCCGAGCACAACACCTCTGGTCAGAAATGGAGCCGGGTCGGTGGTTGACAGTAGTCCGGGGGCAGTAAGGAGGGGAAGGGGAAGGGGAGGGGATATATTACGGCAGCAACCCTTCAGTCAATCTGGATTAACTCACACTGAACCCTGCGTCGCCAGCGAAAGCCCGTGAAAGCGATACGAACATCTGGCCGGATTGAGCACAGTAGCGGCAGCAGCAGCGGAAGCAGCAGTCGCTCACAGCGCTGCTGTAGATGTTAAAGCTGCCCGTCGCTACAAAGCTACAGAGGCGTTTTCTCTTCTGGAGCTGCATCCAGGCGGATGCGCAGTAGAGACGATCCCTATACAGCTGCAGCTTCAGAGCCACGCCGGGACCCTTCAGCTTGTGTGTGGTTTTTTTTCCTGTTTGTTTGGGGGGTTGCCTGTTGTCTAGTCCTTTTTTTCGATAGGGGGAATTAGAGTAACATTTTACCGCTCACACAGGATCGCAAAGGAGCCGTCCTTTATCTGCTGGTTATGGATTTCTTGAAGGGCATCGCTGGTTTCGCAGGCCGTCACATGCTGTAGGAACCAAGACGCGTGTTTCGGGACACCTGAATTATCTCCAGGCAGCACATTTCTTTTTTAAGGCAAGCCACTCTCGGTATGCCGCCAGCCCCCTTGGGAGGAAATAAGCTCAAACCCACCCTCCTGTGACTTGGCTCCATGTTTCAGCTACAAGGTAAAATAATAAAAAATCAGTATTTTACAGGCTGCCTTTGGTGTGAATTGGAGCGTGTGAACTCTTTTGCGGAGTCTGTCTTTCAAGAAGCGAAATATTGACTTGAAGTAGTTCTCTTAGGACCCGTCTGAATGCGCTCAGATTTTCCCTTGTGACATGGGTTGTGGCTGTAACCCCACCAGCCCAGGACCTGTACCGCAAGGTCAAAAAAAATCTCACACGCCAAGGAACATTTTTTTAAAATTTATTTTTAGTGTCCATTTGTATGTGTTTGGTGCTGCTTTTTTCCTCCCCCCTGATATAGGTGAAACTGAGAATAATGGCCGTGGTGGCTGTGATTCATGTGCAGGAAAAGGCTGATTTATTGCATGTGTTTTGTGTTTTCTTGTGTGTTTTAGAGAGATTTGTCTCTGGTGTGTTCTGGTCAAACCCATAACTGATATGCAAATTCCTCACCAGTAATTAAGCTGTGATGAAGTCTAAATGAGCCTAAACTGATAACAGGATTGTAAGTCTGTGGGATGAGGAGGAGGTGGTATGGGGGAAATGGTCCTAGTGATTTTTTTTTATTTTTATAAAGGATGAGGTATAATGGTCCTGTCTGAGGAGTGTTAGTTATCACGTATCTTGTTATTCATGAGTGCCCGAGGCATGATTGTAACTGCTACACCAGTGAAACAAGGCCCACGCCTCATTTTGCTGCTTCTATTTGCTCTCTGTGCTCTGTGAATGCACTCAAATGTTGGTGCTTATGTGCTGCTTCCTTTCACTGACGGAGGAGGAGTGATGTGTGGCTCCTCAGCACCCGGGCTTTTCTGCAGACCAGCTCCACACTCGCTGACCCAAATTTGTCTCCCCACAAATTAGGTTTTGTGTAGCTTTTTTCCCCCACTGGAGAAGTGCTTGCATCCAGATCTGAAACTGAGATATGGCTCACACAAACTTGCACACCTGCTTCACACGTGTAGTATGTGAGAGATGCCTTATGGTTACACAACTTAATAAGGTAAAGGAGATTTATGCATTATTAAGCTTTTTTTTTTAAAAAAAGACAATTTGGCTAGTGCTGCTACATGAGGTAGAAATCCAGTATCCTGGGGGTCTTTGAAAGAAGGAAAATGAGTCAGAAGGTGCGGAGATCTCATTATGGCTGATGGCTGCCCCCCTTCCCCTCACACACATGTAAATGATAACATGAGGGAGTCGTGCTGTCACCAATAGAAGTGTTTTTGCACTTCCTTTACCCGAAATTCACTTTGGAACTGACAGATGTGAGTATCTGCACACCTGCTGGTATGTATCATGCAGAATATTCAACTTGAGGAGGCCACATTGATATTCAGACTTAGTGTTTGAGGATTCTGTGTTCCCTTTCTACCAGAAGACAATCCCAGGTCATAAGCCCATCACTTCAGGGCACGTCGCAACGGTGCAAGAATTAAGATCACAAATCGGTGATCAGAATTTAAAATCTGTCACCTGCTTCAGTGAAATGCTCAAAGAAGAATATGCAAAGTGCTTATACGCCCCCGGTCACGAGGTGTCTAGTGTATCAAGGTGAATTTCTTGTGATGAAGGGGGAAAAATTACAAGAAGGCGATGTAAATGCTGATGAACTGCACTTCTGTTGATGCAGCTGGGTCTGCTTAGTATGCCGTCCGTCTGGCACGCATGTGGATGGGTAGACATGCACTCACGGGCTGAGAAATCATTTAATCTGCATCAGATTTCCCCATCAAGTCATTTTGGCTTTTATTACGTGCAAGACTGGGAAAAAAAATCCAATTCAATCCAGAATTAGCTGAGTGCACAATCTCCTCATCAGAAATGCTACAGTGGGTCTGCTCTGGCCTTCGAGCAAAAGAGTTGTCAAGGTCCTTTTCCTTCGGAGAGGACTCTTTGTTCTAAATAATATTAGGTTATCTGAAGAAGAAAAAAAATCAGCCACTGATTACATCTCACCCTAAAACTGACGTTTGCGGTGTTGCCATGGCATCAAGGCTGTCACCCAAAGAGCTATCACGTTCTAACATTTGCAGACTTTGTAAGAAGAAAAAAGAAAAACGAAAGGAAGCCAGGGTGTCACAGCACATGGCCACATTCACATGTGTTAGTGAGTTGGATGGTGCTTCACAGCATCGATGTTTGGTCTGCTGCTCTTATCTACACAAGCGTTTACCCGACAACATAGAATTTCTACCAGCTCAGTCAAAATATGATCCACTTCAGCAGATGCTGCGGCTCCATTTGCTCTCATAAAAGCAGGCAGGATGAGGAGCTGTTTCACTGTTTTGTCGATACCGTTTTACCGTCACGTTGCAGCATCAGTTTACCTCCTTGACACAACACAGCTTATACATATATATATATATATATATATATATATATATATATATATATATATATATATATATATATATATATATATATATATATATGGCAGTGTAGCAAATGTCCGGCCTCTCCACCCTCCACCACCTCCCACCGGCCAACTCAGGTGAGACGCAAACCGAGATGCCACCGCTGCAGTTGTGCCGACCTGCGTGGAGACGCTGGCAGACTTCATCTCATTATCTTCCCCTCCTCGCAGGGATGCTTTCCCTGATTTCCTGCCCAGACGCGGATTGCAGAGGCTTTCTCACATGAGCTCCAGCATAAGTTAGACCATCTGAAAACATATCCCCCATGACCTCACCGGCCGGATTGGCATGCAGCATGCTGCATAAGGTTTTTCTTGGCCAATGCCACCCCAGGGAGGCTATAGATACCCTCTCCTACTGTTAACTGCTACTGCTGCTGCTGCTGCTGCACATGAATGTGTCTCTGTAGCTGGGGATGAGGAAGGGGGGTTGTTGTGTAGTGATCTGGCTCTATTACGCACAAATCCCCACCCACTGGTGTGTGTGCTTATGTGTGGGAGTGTGCTGTCAGTCTGTTCTTTTCTCCGAGGGTGAAAAGACCTGCTCGGAGGTAGTAAACGAACACTTGATTGACTAAGAAGGAGAGTATGGTTAATGCATCACTAGATTATCTGTTTTCTTGTTTATTTGTGGCCCTCCCAAGTCGCTCCACTATAATGAACAGGCCGACCTAGTGGATAATGATTTTCTGTGAGGTTTTGGGGGGGAGGTTGACATTTGAAGATGAAGTGTGTGATTGATGAATACATTGATTGATCATCTACTTATTTGTTCATGTACCTGATGAGTGCAACCTGTTATGCAAATCTCTGTGGAAGACCAGTAATTAAATGCAAATTGAGGGACAGTAAGAGATATTTCCTGGCCCATCTAAGCAGCGAGCGGCTGTCCTTTTGTCCTCACAGAACAAATTTTGTAGAGATTACTGTTGCAACCATTCTCTTCACGTTTGGCTGAGTTTTCAGCCATGAAAAAAAAAATAGAAAGAAGAAGCCTCATCTCCACAGAGTGAATCAATATCGTGTCTTCAGCGCCATTCGAGTCTGGAAGTAGCAGGTCCTCTCTGCCTCATTGCACAACCAGAGGCCGTACCATTCAGAGTCAGAGCAGAAGGTGGTTGGCACACCAACGTGAACACACTTAGGCAGGCTGTCCTCTCACGCTTTGTGCGCGCACATAAAAAGTCGATAGTTTGCACGCATACTTGGAAAGCACTACACTGCTTCACGGTGAAGTCATCTGCTCTCTTTAAAGAGAGTCATGACAACATTAAATAATGATCCCACGGTCCATTTCTCGCCAGCTCAGATCGGTGCACCGCGGCTCCCCGCACACATCTTGTGGGATTTGGTAACGTTGTCCCGTGTAAAAATGGGTCAGAAAAAGACATTTATTCTCCGCTGCTTCATCAGCAGCGTTCATGAAAATGTCATACCCAGCGTGCTCTCTCTCTCTCTCTGTCTCCAACAATATCATTCCTCCCCTTCCTATTATGGCCCATTTTAAAAGGAATGGTTCCTGCCTCCTCGTTAGGGCTGTAATACGTTTTACCCAGCTGTCAGCGAATGGCACCGCATGCCCTCGCATGGCAGGGTATCACACCTGTCCTGTCTGCTGTTTTCTTTACTCTATGATATTTTCTTCATTCTCACTCTATCAAGGTTATTACACCGGGAGTTGTGTGTCACCGCTCCAGTGCAACAGAATCTTTTGAAACATGAAGGCACTCAGTTGACAGGCCTCTCTGCTAAGGCTGGATTTTTTTTTAACTGTTTTTTTTTCTTCTGCACACTCTTAGAGTCCCAACACGGACAATAGAGGCATTACCGGCAAACCACAGGAAGCTGTAATCATAAATCAGCCGTTCTCGTCTGTATTTAAAGGTCGGCCTTTGGATTTTCACCCAGGTTGTGGGATTGGATCTCCTGTTCTCTGTGTTTGATTTGATTGGTGTCCTTTTCTGTGTGCTGTAATTGGACACCCAGAGGGCTGAATATTGCATGTTCAACCAAAAAAAGGAGAAAGAAAAAGAGTAAATATAATCTCGACTTCTGTCACTCTTGCTCTGGTACATCTGATCTCCAAAGTCTTACTTTTATGACATGCTATATCCCTGACAATGTCTCAGGATGCATCAAATGGATCCCTCCTTATTCCCCCCACATCTCAGCTGTGTCATAAGTAAGAGCAGCATCAGGGAGAGAAGAGAGAAAATCAATAACAAGGCATAGCACATCTTCGCTGAGGCACAGGGCCCAATCATCCCTTCCTATTGGCGATATGATCCTGGGAGATATCAGGATAATTCTGATGAGACCCTGGACTGCCAGTCTAGACTTTCATCCTTCTGTACACAAACATAAAAGGACTGGCATGATCATATATTTTAAAAAGTATGATCAGAGGAGTAGGGGCTTAGAAGGAGAGCTGTCACAAAAACCTTACAAGACTACCAGGGATGTTTCACTCTCAAGTCGGCAGGTGACTAATTAGTTTCATGTCTAATGGTGCAGCATTTATTGTTTGTTCAGGCATCGATTTGCTTAGCTTCTTGCTCAGACTTTGCGCTATAAAAACGAGAGCTGTGAGCTGACAGTAATAGTGTTTGCAGCCTAGTGGAAAATCTTTAACTTTGCAGAGCAGAATTGCCCATTTTTCTTTCCTTTTTTAAATGTGACTTTGCCCAGCTTGAATTATAGATCTCAGGGTTTGCACTTGTTGCCATTTTCACAAACAGCTTGATCATCTCTGTCTCTCATTCGTTTATTTTTTAGGCGCATCAACCTGATGACAAGCCAAATGGAGTCTCTCCTGGTGTATCTGATCATCCTCGGTGTGGCTGTGAAGGCCCACAAAGTTCAAATCTGTCCCAAACGCTGCGTCTGCCAGGTGCTTAACCCTAATTTGGCCACACTGTGTGACAAAAAGGGGCTTCTGTTTGTGCCCCCTAACATTGACAGGCACACGGTGGAGATGCGTCTTGGGGATAACTTTGTAACCAGCATCAAACGCAAAGACTTTGCAAACATGACCAAGCTGGTGGATCTGACTCTGTCTCGGAACACTATTGGCTCCATCGCGCCTCACGCGTTCAGAGATCTGGAGAACCTACGAGCTCTTCACCTCGACAGCAACCGGCTTACCCGCATCAACAACGACACCTTCAGCGGCATGTCCAAGCTGCACCACCTCATCCTCAACAACAACCAGCTCACCCACATCCAAAGCGGGGCCTTTAATGACCTGACAGCACTGGAGGAGCTGGACCTGTCTTACAACAACTTGGAAAGCGCCCCCTGGGTGGCCATTCAGAGGATGTCCAATCTCCATACGCTCAATTTGGATCACAACATGCTCAGCTACATCCCAGAGGGCACCTTCTCTGGGTTGCAGAAGCTTAAGCGATTGGATGTGACCTCCAACAAGCTCCAGAAGCTTCCTCCTGATCCTATTTTCCAGAGAGCTGGGGTCCTGGCAACATCTGGGAAAATGGGGCCTACATCGTTCGCACTGAGCTTTGGGGGCAACCCACTGAGGTGTAACTGTGAGCTTCTTTGGCTGCGGAGGTTGCAGAGGGAGGATGATCTGGAGACCTGTGCTTCACCGCAACACCTCGCCGGACGCTATTTCTGGACTGTTTCGGAAGAGGAGTTCCTGTGCGAGCCTCCTCTCATCACCAGGTACTCTCAGGTACGTCTTCGAGTTAAGCTGTGGACCGTTAAGACGCAATATTCTGTACTGCTTCACTCTGAGCCACACATCGGATTTTGCCTTAGTTAATCCAAGGTTGCACTATTTGCTGCCTTTGACTGTCACACCAAATATTAGCTTTGTGATTCAGAGAACTCTTACAAGAGTTGTGGGACTCATCTGGGCCACTCAGCTCGCAAATCATAAAAAATAAAGTGCTTGAAAAATGAAATCAAACTGCAGCACCTGATGGTGTTTTTAGAGGAGTTCTTTGGTCAGATTTTCAGTTTTAATAAAGCTATTTGCAGTTTAGCGATGGAACCGCAGTGCAGCTCTCAATACACAGTGGAAGCTCGGACTGATTCTATCCTTGCATCCAAACAAAATTATCTGATCAAATCCTTGCCAAAGAACTACAGATATATCATCTCATTTACATTCAGCAGACCTATTTTGCATAATTGCAGAGAAAATGAACTTATATTTGGACTCAAGCGTATGAACTGCGATGTACTGTCTCATTGATGATCTTCCCGTTATAATAATGCTAATTCAGTAACGTGACAATGATCAATTGCTGATTACATTCACAGGGAATGAGATTGTGAAACGCAACATCATCAGTAACGGCATTAATAATAATATCTAAGCCACACCGTGCAGCACAAAAGTACTTCTGTGTGTAATTTGTGTTTTTCAGTTTTGATCAGGGTCTTTATCTAATTGGTGTTAAAAGAAGCTCTCGCTCTGATTGCCTGTTCCTCCCTTTGCCTCAGGAGCTGCGAGCTTTGGAGGGTCAGAGTGTGACTCTGCGCTGCAAGGCTAGGGGCGACCCTGACCCCATTATCCACTGGATTGCACCTGATGGACGCCTTATGTCCAACTCCTCCAGGGCTGTAGTCCACACCGACGGCACGCTGGACATCCTAATCAGCACTGTCAAGGACTCCGGTCTGTTTACACTGCACTGACTGGGCTTTTATGTTGTTGACGGAGCGGAATTAGTTGTTTGCTTGCACATAAGCATGGAAGGCTGTAGTATTTACCTACACCGGGTGATAAAGTTTTGAGTGTGGAGACGTGCCTGTGTGCTTATTCGTGGCAAAGTTCCTGTCATATGCATCTGTTTGCAAAGAAATGTGTTTTGACACTTTTACTTGTTAACAATTAACATTTTAGATACCTGAAATTTTCCAGAAACAGTGTCTAACATCTTGAAACACATTCGTATTCACTATCGCCAGCAGCCGAAGCTAAAGGTCCTTTTTAAGCTCCTTGTGCCGGTGTAAGTACTGTTTCTGCTTTAGCTTTGAAGGAAGTTGGAGTGACGGGACGTGCTGTGTGAATAGTCTAGATGTAAGTGTTGACTGATCAAACACACAAGCAAAACTATCAAAAGCTACTGCCATTATAAGCTCCAGCTGGTGAAACATTTGGCAGGAAACACAGACCTCCCCATGCTAGCCTTTAAAATGGCACGAAAGCTCAGAGAGGTGAACTGATAGTGGACTCCAGGCTGTATTGAGCTTATGTGCAACACAAGCTACATGATGTGATTTGGACTCATCAAAGCGAAATGTTAAAAAATCTTCACTAGCAATGTTCATCAGTTTGATACGAGGTGTCGACCACAGTGAAGCTATGTGGACAGAACGTGCAGAGACCGAAACAGGATTAGAAAGAAAAATAAAAGACCACAGCAAGAGGTGATGCTGTATTACCATCCGCTGGCTGACTATTACATCATTTTAGAGTTTCTGTTAGTGCTGCTTAGGTAAAAAACTTGGAATTTGATATCTAGTTGCTCAGGACTTCCACAGTGGGTACTTATCCCGAGGTAGTCCTTAGAACTGTCCTGATTCAAAGCAGAAGCTTTTCAAGTACAACACTAGAAAGATTAGATATTTTGTATTAATTAGTCCATAAGTGCTGGAAGGCTGAGCTTGTTTTCCTTTGGAGAGAGCTAGGTGATGTTTTTCCAATGTTTCCAGTCTGAAGCCAGAAGTGACCATAAATAAGAGGGGAGGGGGGTGCTAAGTAAAAGCTACTGTTGAAAGAACAGACTGGATGGGTGTTTTGCACAGATCGCATATCTGGTAATTAGTGCTAAGTAACATAAAAATGAAATACCAGAATTTGACTCGCAGAGCACAGACTTCTTGGACGATCTGTTAGTCCAATTAGGCACACAGAAAGCACTTTTATTTGTCAGATATTTGCATTAAGAGTGCAGTGAAAAGCACCAACACCATAAACATCAAGTCTGGTCCAGTTCACTCATTTAAATTGTTTACGGTGAAGCCTCGTAGAGAGCTACTGGCTATATCCGCCTGTCTTGGCAACCATCTGTCTGCACAGAATGACCCCTAAAACTGCACAATTTGAAAACTGCACAGTTGTCATGAATGGGGAAATCAGCTAGAAGGACTGAAACTGTTTTTGTAACCTTTGGGGGTTTTTTTAAATTCAATTTATTTGATGTGTTTTTGCTGGAAATAGTCGCATTTCAGCATGGGAGTTTATCACTGACTAGCCTTTTGGAGTCAGCCTCAGGGGACCATTTGAAAAACTGCAGTTTTTGCCTTGTATCCAAAGAAATTTTCACACAAAGTCAGTAAAAACAAATGTAGTCAAGCATAAATTTGTACAGGATGGAAAGAACGGACAAAAAAGCAGGTGAAAAATATCCCACTACCTCCATTTCAGTTCATTTCAGTTTATTCTGGTGTTATAATTCACATCAGCAGAGCCGGAGGATCCTCTAAGGTCAGAGTAATGTATAATTCAGAAACACAGAGAGTATGCACGGCTCTGTGCTTTGTTTGTAACCACTCTGATTTGTCTGCACAACCGTTACACCAAGCAGACGAGGAAGTTGTACAATGATCACAGTGCACAAGAGAATATACAGTACTGTGCAAATGTCTTGAGCCACTCCTCATTTCTTTATATTTGGTTAGGAAAATTGGAAACAGGTGCAGTGACTTAGTGAAGCAAGTGTAATTATATATGGAAATACAGACTATGAGGAACAAATAGAGTTTTTACAATTGTAACAAAGTTGAAAGCCAATGTTTGATATGGTCACCTTTATTCTTCAACACAGCCTGAACTCTCTTAGGCGACTTCTTGTCATTTCTTCAAGTAGTCTTCATGAATAGTTCTCTGGGCTTCTTGAAGGACATTCAAAGCTCTTCTTTGGATGTTTTTCCCTTTTATTCTGTTCTCTGTCAAGATTATCTCACACTGCTTCAGTAATGTTGAGGTCCTTGCTCCAGAGAGGTCAATCCATGACTGATAGTGTTCTATTGTGTGTATTTCTCTGTTTAGCTATGCTTTTACTGCACCGGCTCATGTATTGCATGATGGATCAAAATGTTAGGGTACCTTTCTGCATTTATATATCCACACATGTTTAGAAGATCCACAAAAGTGGCTAAATGCAGAGCCTCCACCATGTTTTAGAGATGTTTTATAGATGGCTGTAGACGGTTACTGTTGTACTTCTCTCCTGACCTCCTCTATATTGTCAAAAATTTGAGCCAAATTTTTCAAATTTGGATTTGGCACTCCATAAGACCTGTTGCCACTGACTTTCAGTCCGGTTCTTGTGTAATTTGGCATACCTCAGACTTTTCTCCCTGTTTCCCTTCCTTAAGAAGGGCTTATTGACAGTCACATTTCCACTGAAGTGTATCAGAAATGGCTTGGACAGTAAATGGATTAGCTGAACATCCAGATGCATCTAACAGGTCTTTGCTGATTTTTTTTCCTGTTATTTCTTAAGGTTATGACTTTCAGAAACTGTTCATCTTCTGTAGATGTTGTTGTTGCACAAATAAGTATCATCTTTGGCATTTTCTGATAGATTCAACGGAAGAAATTGGAACTAATAATATATATAATTGGTTCTTTGCCAAGCTCTCTATTACACATTTCTGACCCACAGGGCTTATTTGTACATTGTGATGAATTTAAGGCAGGAGAAAGTTAATCTGTTTGGTTTTTGTTTCAGGTTCCTTTACCTGTGTGGCTTCCAACCCAGCCGGAGAGGCCCACAGTGCAGTAAAGCTGGTCATTACCAAACTCCCTCACATCACCAATAACACAGTCGAGGAGCAGGAGCGTGACCCCGGCTCATCAGATATCGCCACAGTGACCAAGACGGGGGCAGAGGCAGGAGGGGTGCCTCTGGGGAATGCAAAGACGAGCCAGGAGAAGAAAGTAGTAATTGCTGAGGCCACCTCGACCTCAGCTCTGGTCAAGTTCAACTTCCACAGGAGTATTCCTGGAATCCGCATGTTTCAGATCCAATATAATGGGACGTACGATGATTCATTGGTATACAGGTGAGCAGATGTGAAGAAGAAAAAGCTCCTTTTCTTACTGCCCAACAAACTTTAAAGCTGAATCTAAGCATATGTATGCGTTCCACGGCCCTTGTTTTACCTTCACGGTGTTCTTTGAATCTCTAAATCACTTTGGATGTTTAGTCATTAAGAAATGGACCTGGCTGTCAACGCGATTATTTGTGGCGTCTATTAATCCTATCAGGAAGACAGACTAATGCACTGTATCTGACTTCTCATTCTTCGACTCGTAATCTCCCCTTGCTGGAGTGTGTCATTTACGACGTGCAGAAGCTTGATAATGCTTAATCAACAAAATCAAAACAGAATGTCAGCACTAAGCTGAGGACTCATAGGAAGATGAAAGACTAGTCTTCCACAGTTTTTACAAAAAAAGCATCAGAGGCTTCACACATGCCCATCTGAGGAACTGGCGTACACAGGATACTTTCATCTCTGCACCCTTTCACCGCATATTTTGTGCTAATCACTGTGATATGATAGGATCATTTCGCAAGATACCCCACTGCCCCCCACCACCACCCTTTTTTTTCTCCCTAAATGAACTTCAAAGTCAGTAACACATATGGTGTTTCAGCCGCGGCCACAGAATTAAAGAGACATTAAAGAGTTGTGTCCCGTCCTGTAATCTTGATGTTGTGAACAAACGGGGGATCCGCGTGTCCCCAGCTACCGAAGCAACCTTTTATCTGTAATGATGTTTGAGAGAATAAATCAAATGTCACAAAAGATTACGCCTAGACAGATCGTAAATAGCCCCCTGAGAGATAAATGATTGTCATGTCATTTTTATCCCTACAAAACAATAAGGCTGATAATCTGATTTGCTCTGTCTCCTTTCATTCAGCCTTCTCTAATCTAAAGTATGTCGGAACAGTCACAAAGCCTTTTCTTCTTTTTCTTCTTCTTCTTCTTCTTCTTGTTTTTTTTACAGGATGATACCCCCGACCAGTAAGAGCATCTTAGTAAACAACCTGGCGGCTGGTACGCACTACGACTTGTGCGTGTTGGCCATCTATGACGACCAGGTGACCTCGCTGACCGCCACCAGGGTGATTGGTTGCATCCACTTTACCACTGAGCCGCAGTACCTGAGATGCCATTTCATGCAGTCCCAGTTTCTCGGTGGTACCATTGTGGTTATCATCGGAGGGATTATCGTGGCGTCTGTGCTCGCTTTTATCATCTTCCTCATTGTGCGTTATCGGGTGTGTAACCAAGGGGATACAGATAAGGTCAGTGGGCGACGATTCCTTGCATTTTGTTCTTTTAATCCTTATTAGTTCTGTCTGTATTGAAATGTGTGTCTCATAGATTTGCTTTCATTCCTCTCGCTCTTGCCTTCTCCCTGCCTCCTGTCAGGCACTAGAGATGGGGGATATTAGGTCACTGAGCAGTGATGGACAGCTACAGGGCTGTGGGATTCCCAAGTCCCTCTCTAAGCAGGTTCTGCGGCCAGAGAAGAATGACAAGGACTGCCTCCGTGTCGCCCTGCCTGCCCCGGAGCCAGCCAAGCAGCGACCGCCTGTCGTGGTGGCATCCACGAAACCGTCTGTCCCTGACTGCACGGTCTCTACCTCAGCTGGAAGTCACAGCTGGCACCCAGCCTCCCCGGGCACTCCGAGACCCAAGCATTCGACCGCTCCGACAAAACCCTCTGAGGCTCGCCGAGCCGAAGCAGATGTCGAGCTCGACAACATGAACCGGAATAACTCGTCGGATGTGAAAACGGCCCAAGCCATCACTCTCGCTGTACCGGGCCAGCCCACCAAGTTGACTGCCATCCCCAGGGCTCCGCGGCCCCATCAAGTTGCTCGACAATACATGACTGTTCCCGCAGGAGGGGCGAGGGTGAACCGCAGGCACTCGTTCAACGCAGAGTCGTACGCGGAGCGCTGCTACGTGGCCTACCCAAAAACCGGGGCCAGCCTGCGCTCCAAACGCAGCCTGTCAATGAGCGGAGAGCTGCCGCAGCTCGAGAGCACAACAAACATTCGCCGGGCCAGGGACAAGCTCTCGAGGTCTGAGTGGCTTCTGGAGAGCACTTTATGATTTTGAAGTTTTGCTACCTGCGCTCTCTTGGATTGCTGGATTGGATTTGTGGCCCGTGGTGAGCAGACAGGATTTTATGCCATGGGGTTTTTTTTGTTTTGTTTTTTGTGTTGTTGTTTTGGAGCTTTTGTGCTCTTTGTTGAAGGACCTGTAGGCTTCTCTCGTATATCTGGGAGAAGGCAGGCGACACAGGGTTTACGGGAAAAGTTTCACATTTGTTTTCTACCTTATAACCTATCAAAGTCTTCTTTATAACAGAGTTTGATCAAACTTTGATGAAAGGCACAACAATGTATAAATCAAACTTCATGTACAAAACAAAACATGTTTTAGTTGTGTGAGATACTATATATCTCAGTACAACCGTAAGTGTTCATGTGGTATCGAATGCAGTAACCTGGACAATACTGTATTATAACAGAAGCATCGCACAGGGGATGGGGTTATTATACTTAACAATCTCATTGCCTGTTACTTAAAGTGATACAATCTCTGTAGACTACACGATTCTTGTCTCCAGCTCTGCAGACAGTGACATGTCTTAATTACTTTGGATGTGGTTTTGGAGAGATTACGAATGTGCTTTACATCCCAGAGGTGTAGGAAAAGAATGTAGTAGACTGACAGCCCTCTATCTTTTCATCCCCACCCAGCCCACCCCCAGACACAGCACAATGCAGCATTTCTTTGTGTGTGTGTGTGTGTGTGTGTGTGTGTGTGTGTGTGTGTGTGTGTGTGTGTGTGTGTGTGTGTGTCTGTGTGTGTGTGTGTGTGGCACAAGTCGACTCAGCCTAATACTGCCCTCCGGTTTGAATCGATACATTTTTATCACGTAATTACACGAAGACTCAACTCTGATAGGATTCCTGTCATGACTGATTTGAGCGACGATTGAGCCAACACCCACAGCGTGACAAGGTGCGGGAAGTAATCTGATGTTACGCGTGGATCCAGGGGAATGATTCATTTTCATGTTTTTGCTTTGTTTGTGTTTTCCCCCCCCTAACTTACTGAAGTGATCGTGTCATGCCGATGACAACCATTGTAAATCAAATGAAATGTAAGAGAAACGGTGACTGGGAGGACGTCTGCTCTTGGTTTTTTGCTGTTGTTTCTGTTTGATGTTTACCAGTATAAATAAACCAGTGATTTAAAAACCAAAAACACCACAAAAATAAAAGGAGGGGCTAGATTCATCTCATTTTCAGCTTCTCTGGTTCATCTTCCCCTGCAATTAGAGCCCTGTTTCCGGACAAAATAATAGCTGAATCCCTTAGTTCTCTTCGAGCTCTGCAACTCAAAGTAGTAGTTGGCTCTGAGCTTTAGTATTTTATCAAAGAGAGGAGGGAAGCGGATGATGAAAAGAGGCCACGTTTGTCACCCGGGACGCCCCTCGCCTGCGTATCTCCTCAGTCATCTGACAGCAGCGCCGTGCCTGTGCCCTCCGACAGCAGCCTCTGCAAAAAAAAAAGAAAAAAATCCTGCGGCAGGAGAGGTTAAACACAACCTCCGCAGTGGGAACTTGCGCATGACTAATTTCTACAGTTACAGTAACGACTCCGTGATATCAGGACTGACATGAAGTGCATTATCCCCCTTGCAATACGAGCTCTGATTCACGGTGTATTTTGGTGGTTTCATGCTGCCTGATTGATTTTTTTTCTTCATACTTGCTATACATGAATGTGCTGGTGTGCCTCTAATAATAAAGCCTTGCGTAGGGAAAACCTGTTAAGAAAGAGCCGCACGGAGACTGTGTAAGACATAAGTGAACCGCTATCACCCAAACACACTGCATTCAGGCACTGATTTATATATTTTTAAATTATTTCTCGCTCATTACGGGTGATTAAAAATGCTGAGAAGCTTGGCCTGAACCTCGGTTCAGTCTTTGGCGAGAGCCAGAGGTGTGTGTTAATAATAGATGCTTTTCTGGAAAGAGAAAGAGACGGAGAGAAAGGAGGGGAGGCGGTGCAGTGAGGAGAAGATGGAAGGTTTTGTGAAACAAATACGGCGAGGAGGGTTTGGAGGCTGAGAGTCACGGGGGTGACGGTGAAGAAACGGAGAGGAGAGCGAGAGGTGCAGAGAAGAAAGCGAAGCAGCTCGTAGACTGAGAGGGAGACGAGAAAAGAGGAGGAGGGCACGGGGAGCCTGGCGTAAAGGGAGAATGTAGAGCAGAACAGGACGCGGAGTGCGGGAGACAGGGAAGAGAGCATCCTTTGTAAGCCAGCCATGCAGCTTCTGGCTCTTCGATATTCAGCGCACCTCCACAAAGATGGCAAGGGAGGGGACTGTGTGAGGGGGTGGGTGGCGGGGGCTGGATGAAGAAGGGGCAGCAAGGAGGTGAGCCTGGGTGATAGACCTTTGGGTGGTGGAGGTCTGGCAGATATAGGAGCAGTTCGAGCCCTGCGGCCAGAGCACAAACACTTCCTCATTCACAAGACTGCACGCTGCACAGCTCTGACCCGCTTTGCAAACGCTTATTATGAGTTTCCATGCTCGCGTCTAGTCTGCCTCCTACCCTCAACATCCTCTGACCCCCCCAGTCTTAGATCATGCTGACTCACTCCTCTCGAATCTCAAATGCGGGAGTCCTGTCATACTCCCGAACAGCCATCCAAACCCCCTACCATCACCACCAGCCACCAGCATCCTTCACAACTGGAACTGCCAGCCTGCCAAAAATGATTTCCGCTGTTTCCCCAATAATAAATAAAAAGAAGTGTCTGTATTTGTAACGGTTGTAAATGACTTGTTGGCAAATAATCTGTGAAACATACGTCAGAAACTTCTTTCGTGAATGATATAAAGCTAGAAAGAAAGATTCCTGTCATGAGGTAGAAGCTGCAATCAGATTCTGTCAAAGAGGCTTTTATATATTGTTTAATTATGAATGTAAAACTCTCACTGGCGTTAAAAAAAAATCTCTTTTTCAAGAGCGAGCCAAGAGTGCAGCAGAAATGACAAAAATATAACACAACACTTCTGTAAAAATATTATAAGTGGCCAAAAGGGACTGGATTGATTAGAATGTGAAACACAGAACATGTACAATAACGCAGAAAGATACTTACAAAATTTCTTAACCTTTTGTATCTATTGTGGACTGCAAACTATTTGCCAATATAAGCAAATATATTAGACATAACAACACACAGAAACATCTGAAATTACTGCTGTTAACTGCTAAATGGGCTTTTCATTCCTCTGCATGAGCACTTAAACCTATACGTAAAACCTCTGATGCCACAGTTGCGCGCGTTTAATGAAGATCATGTGGTGGGCAAGAAGGGGAAAAATGACACTGGGACACTGATGTGTGCAGCTCGAGGTCAAATGTCTCATTTAAAGAGATTGTCGTGTGTGTTTTAACAAAATGAAGAGCCTGTTGGCGTCGCAGTTAGAGTAATAAGGAAAACTGAGGTCTTTGAACAGGTGTGTTGGCGTCCTTCGCTCTCCGGGCTGCAGCCCGGCGTTTCATTATCTCCGCTCTGCAGGCAGTGTTTTAGTCAAAATCGCACATCAGACAATTTCTCCCGATGAGCGAGCATCATTCATGGTTGAGCATGTAAAGAGGAGCCCCGGGGGTCAGACAGCGAGCGCAACCAGGACACCGCAGGTATCCATCTGGTGTGGCAAGGTGTAAAATATGCACACGCAGTTCCGAAAAGCATGCATTACTGAGAGGAGTGGATGGGTCCAGAATGAACATCATGGCTCATTAATAGTGAATGTGATTACTGTTTCCGGGAAAACAGCAGTCTGGGTGGCTGGTAGTGGTGGTGTTGGGTGGTGGGGGGTAATTGAAGTGGTCGAATCTAAAGACTTATTTGTTTACTCAGCACCAACTGCTACTGTCAAGTCATGACTCGTGACTGAAGTTTAGAACTAATCCTGCCGAGCTTGTCGCCCTGGAAAGCCTCTCCTCTCCTTCTCTCGCTCTCTGTCGGAATTGGGGGAGGGGGGGTGTAGAGAAGGGTCGGAGTCATTCATTTTTAATTATCTCAGCTTTGAGTCAACTATACCTCAATTACCAACAGGATTTTAACAAAGCCAGGAGAGAGAATGAGAGGGTTTTTCTTCTTCTTTTTTTTTTTTTTGAAAGCCCGAGTGAAGGTCGCACACCGCGGGAGGGGGGTACGGTGCACATTTAGTGACTTTCAGCTGCTTGACACACAGACTTAGCCACTGACACAGCATCATCCGCACAGGCGCCAGATTCGGTTTGACGTGAACCCAGATTACCGTGTCACCCCCTGAGGGGTTCCCACGCTGAACGAGCAGATGCTTCCCTCTTCTCCTCTTCCTGCCTCCTCCCTACTTTCGGTTACATATGCTCCGGGGTGATGGACGACAAAGAGTCTGCGTGCAGTTTACACCAGACATACCAGGCACCATTAGGAACCATTTTCTGCCCATTTGCCTGATAGCTGCTATCACTTATAGAAGTGATTTGCTCTCCTTCCCTGCACCCTGCGTCCCTTCAAGTGATGGATCTCCCATTGATTTGCCAGCGCTGAAGATCTCTAAGAGAACAGAGCGGCGACCAAGCAGATGTGCCAGTCAGCTCTCAACTATCTGTCAACCGCTGGTGAAAGGGGACAGTTTAAGCCTTCTTAAGGATCCTATTCACAGTGACTTACTAAAAGTGCTTATGCTAATCACGTTATCGCTCCTGGCCTCGTGGTAACAGAGGATGGGAAGCTGCTGGGAGGTCAGGGGCAACATTATTTTTTACCAAACAGGTCCCAAATATTTACACGTTCCTCCATCTGCTTCTTTCTTTTCACTTTGGGTATTGTTGAGTCATTTCTCCATCCTACACGGAGATCTGCGTGGCTCTAGGTCTCTCCTAACCAGCTCACACCAGGATTATGAATTGACTGTGTTTCTGCGCGCTAATCTTATTTATTGCTCAGAGTGCGCTTGTTAAGTTGAGATATCAAAAGCGGGGTGTAGCATTAGGCAGGATTTTCACGCTAACTGGCCTCGTAAAATATAAATGCAGGCATAGGTGGCGATGGACATTTTTTTTTTAATGGCCTCCACAGCTGTTGTTTAATCAGCCATCATCCAGTGCAGCTGACAGGCCAGAGCCACAGCTGGTGAAATTGAATATGTCAGGTAGCGCTTCATAAACAAGTCTTTAAAGGGCTTTTGATCTGCTCTGCAAGGACTTTGCAGGCTGATCAAATCTGCAGGGCAGATACAGTCAGTGATCTGAAATGTAGATGCGACGGCTACGCTCTTTTTGAAGGAGTCACCCTCAGTGACCCGGCGACGGGAGGACGTGATGAGGGTGCTGAAATAAATGACGTAGATACATAAAGGTCGATTTGTAATTGACGTGATGGGAGAGACTGGGGGGATGGGGGCAAAAACCACAGTGTGTAATGATTTTCTTTTTCTGCAGGTCTGCAACACAACATTTCAAGTGAAACCTGATCGTACGAAGAACCCCCCACCACCCCCCAAAGAGTGTGTGCGTGCATCTCGTTATGATGCTGCAAACAACACAGAGAAACAAGAGGCAGAGAGACAGCAACACTTCTTTTTTGATCCTGCTAGCTGAGCTTAGCTGGATCAAGCCCATCACTGGTGGGGAAACCCACAAAGGTTTAGACAGTTTTAAAAATGTCAAAACACTGAATTACAGTGGTAGTTGTACATAATTACACCTGTACTACTGATGCACCACTGCACTGCCAGCATTTTACTATTAACAGATTGCAGTGGACTTGTTTTAAAAAAGACTTAAAGACTTTAGTCCAGTGTTTCTAGCCATAAGGGGTTGCAGAGATGATTAATGAGGTTCTGCTACACAGATTTATCGTGGTTTTGTGTCTCTTTTTTAATTTGCTGTGAAATATTGATGCATTTACATCTTTGGGCTTCAATCGGTTATTTAAATTAAACCACTGGAGACTTTCAGTGAGGAAATGTTTGGTTTGTGGCTCTGACAACAACTCAGAAACATCAGAAATTTCACCTCAATTAGACAGTCTTTCTGCTGTAATACTGGTTTTTAAATAATAATATTGTGTCTTTTAAAGCCTCAGTCTGAAAACTAAGCAGTAACTTAATTACTTGTTTAATTTAATTACTTATTTAATAAAGACTCTACAATAATAGAGAAAAAAAACCAACCGCTTGGTGACAGGAGAAGAACTCCCTTCAGTAGGAAGAAAGACTTCAATTAGAGACCTGCAGCTGCTTGCTGGCTCAAGAAGGAACAGCCAGTTGGTTGGGGGGGGGGGGGGGGGGGGGACCAATGCACCCCACCACACTACTAAAACTGCTCTGGAATTGTTTAAATGAGACAAAAGGTCAAAGGCATCACACTGACCTCAAAACTCCCCAGAGCCTGACGCAATCAAGCATGGATTGCACACCTCACAACAAACCAGATCCACCCAGGATTTTCTGCCAGTCCAGGTGCCTGACAGTACAGCACACAAACAGGTGTTGGGTCCATACATTAAATGTTTTGAATGTGACTCTAATGTAGCGGCTGATAGTTGTGTTTGATTTTAGGCTATTTGTTTTATCTGTTAGGTGTGAGGGAATAGCCACCATCTGTTTTAATTAGATCGTTTCATTCATTCAGATGAAACCCCACAGATGCTAACATTATTAATACAGAACTGTGCAAAAGTCTTGTGCTGCACCTCATTCCTTTATATGTTGCAAGGAAAATGTTATTCAAGCATACATGGCAGCTAATGCAGCTTTTTGTCATTTC